TAATCCCGCAGAGCTGTTTGAGAATGGATCCGTCTGAGCGGCTGACCTGTGAGCAGCTCCTGCGGCATCCCTACTTCGACTGCATGAGAGGAAAAGGCGAGAGCACGACTCGAGAGCACAAGAGGACGCGGTTGCCTCGGAGACACCTGCCCCCCGGGGTGAGCAGCACGGATGAGATTCATACCAGTTACTGTGAGAAATGGGGGGGGAAATGCTCTGGTTCAATCTATCTGGACATTTTGTCTGTTTTTTTTTTTTTTTTTTGTATAAACAGTTTGCAGTTCTTAAGACTTTTTCTTCACAGAGAAGCTGGCAAAGTCATTTGTTAAAAAGTGAATCCATGCAAAAACATTTCTAACCTTTAAACTTTTAACTAACATTTTGTGACATGCTGAACACATGCTGGAGCAAGGAGGTGGCAGTGTCATGCTGTGGGGGTGTTTTTTTCTTCAGCAGGAACAGTTGAGGGAACAAATGTTGATGTGAATCTATGACCCGACATGAAAATTGCTGTTTTTTGTCCCATCTATAGATGCGCAAAACTGGTTTACATTTTTCAATATTTGCCGCTAAAATGCGATTCCACTGTTCTAAAAAAAACACAAACTTCAGTTATACAATATCAACACTTCCAAAATTGGGTTTAGCATTGTTTTGTAAATCTTTTCCTAATGAAGATACTGTATTTAAGTCAGTTTTTATTCTATTATTATGATTTTTAGCAATTTAAAGTATTGACCATAAGGCCACTTTTAGCCATTTTTATATTTATTGCATGTCAAGTTTTCCGTTTGGAAAAAAAAAAAAAAAAAGAAAAAAAGCTGATTCACCTCACTTTAACCAAATCTACTAATGTTATAAATGAAACTGGTTGAGCACTTAAAATGCTAAAATAAGAAATAAATAAAAATCGAAATTTTTGCCTGTAATTTGCCAAAAGATGGAAAGGTTTGAATACTTTTGCAAGACATCACGAAAAAAGAAAAAAAAAAAAAAAAAAAAAATATATATATATTAATAATTATA